TCACTTTAATCTAGCTTGCACTCACTGTTGTAAATGGAAGCAGCTGCAGGCGGATGACGTATGAGGTCGGCATCGTGCATGCGCCGCTCAGAAGTGACGCACGCAGAAACGCAGAGGAGATATCAAAACAAAACACCGGTCAAGAATTAGAAGTACAAAACAAGGATTTGTAAAGAAGAATGTCAGAGGATTTCGATATAAGCCAAGAGGAGACTGGTTTTCCTTTGCTAAAGTAAGGAAACTTTGCTTCCTTTGATCCTGTAAACAAACGTGGGTTTTCACGAGCCTGTAAACAAATGTTGGTTTTCACGAGACTCACCAGCGCATGCGCAACACTGACCTCATACGTCATGCTCCCGAAATGGCTTCTGTGTACAACTGCTGGCACAAGCTAGATTAAAGGGATTATTAAGTTTTGAACATGGATATTTTTCTTACAAAAACGCATGGATTCGCTACAGGAGGCCTTTGTTCAGCCCCCGGAGCCGTGTGAGACACTTTTTTTCATGCATGGGCACTTTTTATTTAACTTATTTTGAACTGAAGCAATGCAACACCCGCTGACTGCAATGATAGAGCTTGAATTTATTTATCTGCCATTTATTTTCAAATCCAATGCTCCCTTACAAAGGGTTAATGGTGTTGTTGAAATGAGAAAACATTTTGAGTGTTGAGTAATTAAATTTGAAGTGAAAATTAAGAACTACTCTGCTTCCTCTGCACCTATCACTTGCGGGGTATCTCAAGGCTCCGTTTTGGGCCCGGTTTAATTATATATATATATACATTTTATATATATAAAGTGGTGTGAAAAAGTGTAGGCCCCCTTCCTGATTTATTATTTTTTTGCATGTTTGTCACACTTTAATGTTTCAGATCATCAAACAAATTTAAATATTAGTAAAAGATAACACAGGTGAACACAACATGCAGTTTTTAAATTAAGGTTTTTATAGACCCCAATGCGTTACAGCCGCACAGCTACAGAGAAGAGAAAATTCCACATAAACAATTCATATTATCATATTATTCATATTATTCATGTTATGCATAACATAACATTTACATAAAATGGCATTCACTTTCCCTACATGTGACTGAACAATTCTAAAAATGCAGGATCCATTCAGAACCATTAAGTTTTTTAAAGTCAGATCAGGGCTGGCAAGGCTGAGCACGATTTGCCCACTCAATAGAAAATCAGTCAGAATAAAATGCAGTTCTCAGCACTGCCCTTGGCTGCTTCTCGTCCTGCCTTAAGGCATGAGCTTTTTCCATTGAGATTGGGAATAACTCTTTTTTTTTCTCTACACCTTTTACCTGCGGGGTACCTCAAGGCTCTGTTTTGGGCCTGGTTGCTTTGTTAGAAATATTTTTTTTCAGAAACACAACATCTGATACTATTGTTATATTAGATGATACTTCCTTTTCTTCCTTACAAACTCTGTATGCCACAGGGACAATAAAGTTTATATGGCTACCAACCTTTTGGTAAGGCGTAAACGTATGTGCCATTGGATAATATGCAATGGTAAACAATGCTTATGAATCACATTCAATAACACTTTCACCAAAAAGTCACATTTGCAGATATTATAGGTCTCAGAGGGGTGATCTGGGACTTAAAAAAAACAAACATATTGGTAATCAGCACCTAAGCAGTCAGTTTATTATATGATATCACATAAATAAAGTTAATTCAGTGTACTGACGCATGCAACAGTAAAAACCTGTTAACTGTAAGTTACCTTACCATATAATGTATGGTGGAAAACTGTAAATGATTTAACATCGCATTATATGTTTGTGTATATGTTTTAGTTCCATGGATTCAACTGAATTCAGATGGTAACTTAGCAATAAAGACGCTGTGCTGATTTCCACGCTCACCTTCCATTCTCTGCTGCTCTGCGACATTAACTCAAAGATTCACCTGGACATGACTTTACAGAGGATGAATAACAATGATGTTTCAGCAGAAGATAAATATACACAGGCAGAGCAGACAGAGTGAAGCCGTGACGGTGGGAGGAGAGGAGAATAAGCCATACCTTACAGCCACTGCTGATGTCGTGACCCCAGTGGTTGGGCGCACATTTGTCACATCTCTCTCCCACGGTGTTGGGCGGACAGATACACTGACCTGTGTTAGCATCACAGTTATTTCCCACATGGGCACACTGGCACGCTGCGAGACAGACAGAAACAGAGAGCAGGTTAATTGCGGAGAGCAGCTGAGCACCTGTTCTAAATGTCAGCGCCGGCTCTGCTCTCTGCTGTGGTAATATCAGTGTGATAGCGTGACAGAAGACGCTCCGGCTGGAAGGAGAAGGGCAAATTTGCACACCATCCCGATAGAGAATTACATTATTCTTAATGAAATGAACACCGCAGATGAAAACTGTAGCGCTTACAGGTCAGGCTCGTTGACATCCACATTCAGGAACTGAGCTGGAATCTAAAAGCCATTGCCTGATATCTGATTGGTTGGCGCACAACCTTTTGCTCTTCCATAGATCAAGCAGTTCCATATTTCACTTTCCTGTTATGCTTCATTTACAGTAGTGAATTCAATTTCAGCTGTAAATCAGCTCTACAGAAGACAGTAGTGTCATTACTCGGCTTGATTCAGTTCAAACAATCCGATAGTGTCACTGCAGTTCAATAATGTTGCAGAATATTATTAAGTGTCTGTAAAACAGAAAGAGTATAAGAGCTATAAAATGAATGTGGATAGAGGCTCAGATCATTTGATAAGGATACATGTGGTATCTTATATGTGGTAAATCTGAGCATAGTTTAAGATATACGGACATATGGATGTAAATTAGAAATGCTGCTAAAATAATAACAACAAACCACCACTGGTTCCAAATCCCCAACATTAATTTAGACTAAATTGCCATTACTCATCCTGGTGCATTTAAAACAATTATAATAAAATAATAAATAAAAATGAATAAACAACATTCATTTTATACTAATGTTTACTAACCTGCATTGCCCCTATCAAATAAACAAATAAACATGACACACTTGTGACATTACTGTAAATTAAAGATGAGTTTAGATTGACTTTTGCAAAACGCACAGGAAAAAAACAACAACAGTATATGG